TCAAGAGCTGCTAAAGCCAGGGGGGAGGTTGATAAGGATTTTTCCAACGAAAGCTTCCCAATTCTTCTTAGCCTAAGGTAGGATCCCAGTTTTGAGCAGCCTCCAACCTGACAATTTAGGAGGCACTTTGCACCCCACCAAGGTTCTTGACGAGAATAATTGGACTGAATCTGAAAACATCTCTAGAGGGAACATCTAGTCTACCAGGAAGTGTGGGAGGGAGAGGAGCAGAGACCAAGCGAGCAAGTACAATGAGAACAGTTTAACTGCAAAAAGACAGTGAGACAATTGGGGAAATTTTTAACATGAAGGGCACATCAGATAACATCAAAGAGTTACTGTTAAGTTTTTCAGGTGTGATGATCAATCTGGTTACAGTTTTTTAAGGCCTTACCTGTTAGAGATACATACTGCAATATTTACCAACAAGAAGATAGTGTCTAGGATTTGCTCCAAAATAATCCAGAAAGAAGGAAGGGAGTACATATGAAATAAAATTGGCAACATGTTAACAATTGTTGAGGCTGGGTGAGGATATGGGAAGCATCATCAAACTATCTGCTCTGCTTTAGTGTATGTTTGAAATTGTCCATGATTTTAAATTTTTTAAATAAAATGTGAGTAAAAAGACAAGTGGGAATAAGGGGGAGGCGATAAACGAAACACAGAAGAGCAGAATGCTGATGGTGGCTGAAGCTGGGTGGTGAGTACTTGAGGATGCATGTAGAGAATTTTAGAAATTTTTATATTTCAAAATTTTCCATGTTAAAATTTCAGGGAAAAAAAACGAAAAACAACAACAACAACAAAAAACAGACCAGCACAGTCTGTTGACAGAATTCATGGTCAGGTGTCTAGGGAGACGACAGCCGGATGGAATGTTTGGTGAGTGTTCCCTCACTGGCTCCGCCTGTGACGATGACAGATATGAGTGACCAACACTCACATCAGCTCTTTCACCTCCCGACCACAGCACAGCCATTAAGGACTGTCTGGGTGTCCAGCCCTCTGTCCAGGTAGCCCTGGGGCTCACTGTCCCTTGTCAAAGGTAAGAACCTGGGGTGCTGGGTAACCTATGGGGCCTTGACATCAAGTCTGGCAGTCCTGAGGATTGGAGGGTGGTCCTCAGCGAAGGGCTTACCAAGCTCCAGGCAGCTAAGGACCCCAAGGACCAGCCCCATCGTGTGGTACAGAGGCAAGACCGTGTAGACCACGTCATCAGCTGTGACCCCACACAGGGTCAGCATCCCGCTTATCTGCAGCACCCGCTCGTACGTGAGGATGGCTGGCTTCGGGAGCCCTGGGGGGAGAAGCAACGGGAGGAGTGGGGGTGGTGCACGGACAGCACTCGAGGGGCGCACACGCAGGAGTGGGTCTCCAGGATCAGGTCTGCACAGTCAGGGCTTTGAGGCTCTCGAAAGGTGGTCAAGTATGGGACCTGTGGATGGGTTTAGGGAGGACAAGTTGGACTGGAGTTCAGAGGCTGAATTCCAAAGTTCAGGGTTTCAGTGGCTGTTTACTGGGCAGAGGCAGGGTTCTGGCACTGACCATTCAAATAACACTGGGGGTCAGAGTTCGGCCAGGTGTCAAAATCAAAGGGCAGGGTGGGTTCAGAGGTCAAGTTTGAGGCACAGGTCAGGCTTGGAGTCATGTCAGCAGAAGGGTTCAGAGGTTGGGCTAGGACTGCTGGGCGCCCTCACCGGTGGTCCCCGAGGTGTAGATGAACAGGGCTGGGCTTCTCAGCTTGATCTCAGCTCGAAGGTCAGCGGGCACGGGGTCTGAGGGTGCAGCATCAAGGGCAGCCCCCAGAGCCCTCACCCCCGGCGTGGGGGAGGAGTGGCTGAGATAGAAGCAGCGGATGTTCTCTGCCTGCAGCTTGGGAAGGACCTCCTCCAGGCTCTCGCGGAGGCCTGTGGGAATGGGTCAGAGGAGGAATTTAGAGGAGGCCCACCTCTGAGGTGGGGGGGGGGACCCGAGACGTGGGAGAGGAGCCCACTGCCAGCCGTGGAGGAAGCAGCCGGCAGAGAAGAGCATCTACCTTATCTGTAAAGAACCCCGTAATTCGTATTGGGGGGCAGAAAAAGTTGAAATAGCCGTGTTGAAGAAAACACAAAGCAAAGCCCTGGTGCCCTCAGAACTACTTCCCAGCAACTAAGTTTTGGCCCTAATTGCCTGGGGGTGGGTGAGGGGCACGGAGCTCTTGCCCAGCCCCCACCAGGACCCTCTGAACAGCAATCCTACACGTCTGTCTCCTTCCCCTGTCCCCACCACATCCGACCTCCGCTGGTCTCTGAGGTCCTCACCTGGGTCTACCACCAGCACCCGAGCCCCAGAGCTCAGCACCGAGTGCACCAGGGGCGCCCCCCGGCCGTGTGGATTAATCCAGGCCACCGGACAGCCCAGCTTGGCCAGCCCGAGCCACAGGCCCAGGGCAGGAATGGTCTGTGAGGGCAGCACAAGGAGGGCAGTGGGCTCCTGAGCGCGGGGTCCCGTGGCGCTGCCCAGCTCGGCCTTCATGACCCACGCCGCCTGGCAGGCCCTGGCATCCAGCTCCCCGAAGGTGACCGAGCGGCTCCCCGGCCCCGTCCACACCAAGATCGCTCTCCCTGGCTGCGCTCGCACCCGCCGCTCGAAGGAATCTATGAAGGTGTCAGGTGGCTGGCGGCTCAAGCGCGCCCAGATGTTCAGGCCCAGGCGGAGAACCTTGAAGATGTAGGCCAGGTCTGCAGGCAGCCAGCGCAGCCCTGGGGGCGGCCGCGTGGGCAGCAGAGCCAGCGTGAGGGCCGCGTAAGCCAGACTCAGCCAGTGGGGCATCCAGGGCCCGAGCCAGGGCCACGCCAGCACAGCCAGGCCCAGCAGCACACAGCAGGCAGAGTCTCCCAGGAGCCAGCGCAGAGCCAGGGCCACTGCTGCAGGCCATGAGGACTGCCCCAGGCCTCGCAGCAGCCACAGCAGCAACAGCAAGAAGGCCAGTCGTCCCCAGAGGTCCATCGTACCTGCTCCTGCCTCAGGGAAATGTCCAGGAATGC